TTCTAAAAACCAATACCTACTTGTTTTCATTTTCGTCACCAAATGCTCCAAAATCTCTTAAAGCAGGTTATTGTAACATCAATGTAGAAACGTACATTCCAAACCCTCTAAGATGTTTCAATTGCCAAAAGTTCGGTCATGGCGTCAATAATTGCACATTGTCTGTTGTATGTGCTCACTGTTGTGAGAAGACGCATACAACAGAAGATTGTGACAGTATTGTCAAAAAATGTACAAACTGTGCAGGGGATCATTCCTCTTACTCTAAAAGCTGTCCTGTTTGGAAACGTCAAATGGAGATAAATCAAATCAAATTCACCCAAAACCTTAGTTTTGCAGATGCCAAAAAACTAGTTCAAAGCTCAGAGCATAAACAGAGCTATGCTTCTATCACCAGAACACCGTCAGAAGCGACAACTAGAATAACAAAATCATCTGCATGCTGTCAGACAACCTTGACCTTTGTTAAATCTGAATGTCCTCTGATATTCTCATCTGCAATATCTACACAAACTGCAGAACCACTTCCTGGTACGCCCCAAATCCAATCAGAACCATCTTATGACCGTGACACATCTTCTCAGTCAACTCAAAAGTCTCAATCAACGTTAAACATTCAACAAAAGGCAAACCGAAGCCAGATTCTTTGAAGAAACAAAGTGGCAGAGCCTCAAAAGGGTCAGATGATAAAATCAAATTATTTAACAAATACGGATCACTTGAGGACATGGACGTGTCCGAAAACGTACATTCTAGGGCACATAGCTTGTCGCCCTCGAAAACGGTGCGGGGTAGATCCCCAATTAATCCGCCTAAAAGATCTATCTAACAATATCGTGCAGTAGAACTGTAGAGCACTCCGGACAAATTTTAATGAAATACAGCAATTAATCCAGGATTTAACACCATCAGCGTTCTGTCTGCAAGAGACGTATCTACGTCAGTTTGAAGACTATCATTATTCTTCCCCCTTTACGTTATGCTCTCTGTATATTCCGCCTTCATCGAACCTTCAGCTGACTGAACTTCAATCACTCTATGATCAACTCCCAAAGCCATGTGTTATTATTGGTGACCTAAACGGTCACAACCCACTCTGGGGCAGTACTATCACTAATACTAAAGGCAAAATACTGGAAGATTTCATTTCCAATAATGACCTGTGCATATTTAATGATGATTCAATCACCTATCTGCATCCTGCAACTTGCACTTATTCTTCTCTGGATTTGTCTCTTGCAGATCCTAACCTCCTGAATGAATTTGATTGGTCTGTTCATAATGACCTTTGTGGACGTGACCACTTCCCAACTATCCTTTCAGAAATAACTCCATCTGATTCTCCATCGTATACAATATGTAAATTGTATACTATATGTAAATCGAAACTGCGACCTGAATATTTCAGTGGTATAACTTATTCCATTCAAAAGTTTGCTGACGTTTTAAAGCAAATAGCTGATGAGTGTATACCAAAGTCCTCTACGACTCCACATGTACGAAAACAATGGTTTAATACAGATTGTAGACAAGCCAGAAAAGCGAGGTAAAAGGCAGAGCGTTATTTCCGCCATCATCCAACTGTCCATAACTTAAAAAAATTAAAATACTCAATGCAAAAGTGTGTCGTACAAACAAACGACAGTCTCGGAGAAATTATGTCTCAAAAATTCATTCACGAAAGCCAATGTCTAAGGTATGGAACATGGTTCAAAGAATTAAAGGCAAAGGTTCAAAATCTGCTGTTCACCATCTTAAAGATGGTGATAATTTAATTACTGACAAGTCTACAATTGCAAATAAAATTGGCGAAACTCTTGCCAAATATTCATCATTGGCAAATTATGTCCCTGTGTTTCAGAGATATCAGAAACAACAGGAAAAGACAAAACTTAATTTCGAATCAAATAACGGTGAAGATTGTAACGAAGTGTTTTCATTACATGAGGTACATACTGCTCTTGAGCAAGCTCATGACACTGCAGCGGGTGATGATAATATACATTACCAGCTACTGAAACACTTACCTGAACCATGTCTGATGACACTTTTAGACAAGTTTGACCAAATATGGACGTCTGGAGAATTTCCTCCTTCGTGGCGTAATGCCATTGTAGTCCCAATACCAAAACTTGGCAGGGATCCGTCTAATTACAGACGTTATCTCTAACTAGCTGTGTCTGTAAAACCATGGAACGTATTGTGAATAATAGATTAACTTGGTATCTTGAAACCAATGTGGTTTCAGGAAAAATCGTAGTACCATTGATTATTTGGTACGTTTAGAATCCTTTGTTAAAAATGCTATAGTAAGTAAACAACATGCTGTATCAATTTTCTTTGATCTTGAGAAAACTTATGATACGACCTGGAATGGCACTTTGAAGGATTTACATGATTTTGGTTTGAGAGGCCGTTTGCCTCTTTATATATCACAGTTTTTAAAAGACAGCCAATTTCAAGTGCGAGTGGGTTCAACCCTGTCTGATCATTATAATCAGGATCAGGGTGTCCCACAAGGCAGTATTTTGTCTGTCACACTGTTAAGCATCAAGATCAATAGTTTATCAACGGTTGTAAATGATTCAATAATATTGATGGATCATTATTTGTGGATGATTTCAATATTTCTTGTCGTGGTAAAAATATGCATACTATTGAACGGCAACTGCAGTTACGTTTAAACAAAATAAATAAATGGTGTCTTGAAAACGGCTTTAAATTTTCTAAATCAAAAACTAATTGTATACATTTTTGTAGAAAATATAAGCCTTATAAGGACCCAGAACTATCTTTAAATGTCACTCTCATCTAAGTTGTAAAGGTGGCCAAATTCTTGGGCCTAATTTTCGATTCCCATTTAACTTTCCTGCCACATATTAAATCCCTTAAAGCTAAATGCCTGAAGGCACTCGATTTGTTAAAGATTGTCTCCAATTCAAAGTGGGGAGGGGATCATACTACCCTCCTTCACTTATACAGATCGTTGGTGTGATCTAAACTTGATTATGGCTCGATCGTATATGGCGGAGCCTGCAAAAGCAACCTTAAACTACTTGATTCTGTTCACCACCAAGGTGTAAGACTTTGTCTTGGATCATTTAGAACTTCTCCAGTTGATAGTCTCTATGTCGAGGCAGATGAGCCTTCTCTTTCCCAACGCCGTATTAAATTATCTTTACAATATATTACCAAACTATATTCTAACGAGTCTAACCCTGCATTTAACTGTGTCTTCAATCCTCTTTATGAGGATTCGTATAACAAAAGGTCTTCTCTTGTTTTGCCTCTTGGGCACATTGCTGCTGCCGGAATTGAGCTGGACAATATATCTCCTTCTCGCCTTCTTTCTTCTCCTCCTTGGCAATTGGTGAGGCCAGACGTTGACTTAACATTAACCACATTTAAAAAATACGAAACTAATGATTTACAGTATAAACAAGAATTTAGTCAATTAAGAAATATATATAATACATATAAATCCTTATTTACAGATGGATCCAAGGATGGTGGCGCGGTGGCTTGTGCCACTGTCATTGGATCCAGAACAATATCTTCTCCACTGCCAAATAATAGCTCTATTTTCACAGCAGAAGCTAACGCCTTATAAACAGCTCTTAAATATATTAATAAACACCGTAAATATAAACAATACATCATCTTTTCCGATTCTCTTTCGTGTCTTCAGGCTATTAAAAATCATTCTTGTAAACATCCACTTTTAATAGAAATTATTGAATTGTATAATGAGCTTGCTACTGGCCAATGCGACGTCGTCTTTTGTTGGTTACCCAGCCACGTTGGCATTTCTGGGAATACAATGGCTGATCTTGCTGCTAAGGCAGCACTCAATAAATCTGTGACACCACTTCTTATTCCATACTCTGATTGCAAAGCTAGAATTAGAACTTACATCCGTGTTCTGATGCAGAAGAAGTGGGACACCAAAGTAGGTATTAACAAATGACATGAAGTAAAACCTTATATGGGTTTCACCAACTTGGGTTGTCAAATCCAGATTTGAAGAGGTCATCATGCGACGATGTCGCATTGGCCATACAAGATATACTCATGAGTACCTATTAAAATGTGAGGATCCTCCATTTTGTATCCCTTGTGATGAAAGAATCACAGACTGTGTTGAATATTCCATCACAAGGGATATCTATTTCAAATCACAAACTATGAAGGATCTTTTTAGTAATATAAGTTCTCACTTAATTATTGCCTTTTAAAATTAGACTTGTTAACTGATTTGTAAATAAATATATATTTTATTATTGGTAGTTTAGATTAGTAACTGAGATCGTTAGTGGCTGTACCCTCAAAGGGGGTTGAAGTAGCGTAAAATTATTGTCCTCCTGAGAGGGTACTTAAGTCCCAAAACATTTCAAGTAAATTTAAGTCTACCAGGTTTTTAATCGTAGTATTTTTGTCATTTTAATGTGTGGCTAAAATCTCAGTATAAACGTCAATGGCTGAAGGGATGGTGTAAATCCAGCTAGGGTCCATGCAGGTAGCAAATGTACTGTAAGTCCCCATGGTCCCTAGTATGGTGATCGACCTTCAGTTGTTGGCGATCTATAGCCTGTTTTTATCTTGTATTGTCCTAATAGTGCTATTAGTTTTAACCTTCCACACTTGTTTTAAATCAAATTGTGATATTCTAGTTGTTTTACTGTCCTTCGATGACAGGTTTTATAATATACACATATGTCATTTCAATGTAAAACGTTCTCGTCACGATATGGCTGACATATTGCCGATGTGACGTTAAATATTAACTCACTCACTCACTCACTCTTACGATCCGAAACACATACGTGTGATTGCCTCTTTACACTATTTTTACGTGCAACCCAGTCAGTAAAATCATTGCTAAGCTGATCACTGTGTCTAGTCAAAATCAAAACCGAAAGTGACCGAGAACAAATGAGAATCAATAATTCTACAAACGTTGTCTCTAAAAAGCAGTAAACCAGTGTATATTACTGTTTCAGAATATTATGGGCATTGCTGCTTTTAACAATGATTGGGGTGAGTCTGAGTGCGCTGGTTGATCTTTACAAGAAGTACTACAGCTACAGCTTCATCACCAAGATTACGAGAGAACGCAAACAACAGATTAGGTTTCCTGCTATCACTATATGCACCCTGAACAAGTTTGACATAAGCAAACAGAACCTAACTAACGCAGAGCTACGTTATCTTCGCAGCTTTGGGTACCTAGCACACATGTCACCGCAAGTTGACTGGGACGGAGAGGAAGGGAGAGAGCTCGATAAACTGGATAATGTCAAATTCTGGGCTGGTGGGGAATACAAAAAAGAAGATATTTTCAAAGTCATATTCTTCAAAAATAACCGAATCCTCCCGGAAAGTCTGAACTACAGTCAGAAGCAAGATCATCGCTGCTTCACCTTCAACGCTAACGCTGATGTCAATGCTCTTGAGTCGGAACACACAGCACTGTTAATGTCTATTGACATCATGCAAGATACCTATCTGGAGGGAGCTACATACGAGGCAGGGGTACAGGTAAATATCATAATAGGTAAATATAATTCTGACAGGCACACACATGTGCCTTGGAGTCTAATAGCAAACGACTCTATATTAAATGTGTTCATAGTCTAAGACGAATGTAGTATAACAATCACTGACATTTCCAGACCAACATTTTGCCATTAATTCAGATGACTTAACGTCAGACAATTCTATCTATCAGATTCAGATTGCCAGAGTGCATGACTTCATTGATTTTCTGTACAACACACTCTGACAATGTGGATCCTTTCTTATAATTTCAGTCACTGGTTTGTCTCAACCATTCTCAAATATTTACAGACTGCCGTCATATAGCTGAAACATTGCTAAAAATCCAAGAAGCAGTATAATAACCGGGAAAAGAATATTTAAGTCAGTTATTTCTAACTTGGTTTAGTTTGCTAAAAATTTAAAGTCGGGCTTCAAAAAGAAGCCATCATGTTTTCATACCAAATATAATGGCATGTATATTTGGTATGAAGGGAGCACTCTTAAACTTCCGCGCCGTGACATAGCTGGAATATTGTTAGAAGTGGCGTAAAACTGAACTCACTCACTCACTCATAAACTTCCAATTCGGTCCTACAATGTCATCTTCTTTTTGTTGAATCAGGTATATATCGATGAACCTGAAACAGCGCCAAGCTACAATGATCATTCATTGATTGGTGTATCGGTCGGGACGTCGACACGCATAGGGCTGACAAAGAAGAAGGTGAGTTTTTGTCAAGAGGGAATTATGTCTAAAAAAAAATCAATTTTGAGTCCTGAGTTAAAATGCAGAGTAGGTTTATAAGTACACACAACATAACATCAAAATCAGTTAATTTCACCCGTTTAAATAACGAGAATCTGGTAAATTCCCAGCAAAGTGGTGGAAAAAGTGGGCTGAAAAAGGTGGAAGCACAATGATGGCAAACTAGGATTCGAACCAGTGTTGGATGTTTCTGGCACTCGGAAGAGACACAACCCTGCACAATGAATTGCAGGGCCATCAATATCTTGGACACGCCTGTCGGATTAGAGCATACAATCTCATGCATCTCGAATCCATCTTTGCCAACAAATACCATGTGCTTACGATGTTGTTAAGATGCGTCTGTTGATACATGCCCTCAGATGAAGTACCTTCCTGACCCCTATAATACCCGCGGGACGGATTGTATAGACACTACAGCCTCGGACTTTGTCAACCCTCTGGAGTGGTTCAAGGTGTACAGCTTTGACGGATGTCTCCAGGAGTGCTCAAATAAGGCTGCCATGAATGCCTGTAACTGCACAGCCGGATGGGAACCCCAGCAAAGTACCTTTACCATTTTCAAAAGAAATGAAACCTATACATCCCAAGAAAGCAAAAACACAGTTCCTGCAATTTTGATATAAGTCTCAAAATGATATCACAGAATACGCTTACTTAGGGCATTTCTTGAAACTATTGGTTGGAATCCCTTCTAAGTTGTGGGTTTAGGTTCTTTTTCCTTTTCCCATTTAACCTTAACCATACACAAATAAAATTTTACAATGCAGAAAAGATTCACTTTATTTTAAGATAGTTTCTTGAACCTGTGGCATTTAAACACATTTGAATTATTAAATTCGAACTTCTAGTTGCATAGGTGTTTTGTATTACATTGACTGGTGATATATTTTTCAGCAAGAGTCAGTTTACGACACTGCTCTGTGAAGGAAGTGAAAACATGTTACGGTAAGATCATTTCCATTTCACTGAAATTACAAACGCGTAGATCCTATATATACAGCACTGACATTTTCGTGGTACAGATGCATTATATTTGTGGACTGTCCATAGTAAAACCGCAAAGGCACGACCATATTATAAGCGTGTGTCTAAACATCACTATAACATACTGACGCTACAATGAAGTTGCAACAGGGTAAGCGCATCCTCAACTGCCGATGGCTGCCATAAACAAACATGCAAAGGCTCCTTGTTTCAAGCAAACTCTTTCTGAATTGAAAACGAGTTCTCCCTCTTAAAACCGTTTTGGTACAAAAAGGAAGGGAACAGGCAGAGAGAATCCTTGTATATTGTACACAATTTTTTTAACAGGAACTGGTGTCATGATGTGTGTGTAATGTATACATATAGTGTGCGAACATCTTTCCACATGACACATAGTGACCAGTAAAGTCAATATAAACTTACACAATAATGGTGAAATACAACTTACTAACACCATATCACTTAGGGCCATATGGATTTGCTTAATGCAAAACTCTTTATTTGTGTTTAGATCAAGTACAGTGGGAAGTCAGGATGGGGAAGAGTTGTGCATGTCAGTACCCATGTGAAGAGACATCGTATGACATGCAGGTATCATCCATGGTACTGCCATCAAATGTCACCTTCCCGACTACTTTACTGAATGCGGCATATACCCCCGACAAGATAAGGTGAGAATTGATCTGTGGTGAAGCATATCTTTGATAAATTAGTAGTCCATCTTTAAAATTACAAATTGCATAGATAAGTGATTGTGCAAACAATATGCCCGATACGATTACAATCATTACATCAAAGAACTAACAAAGATAGTTCATACAGGTTCATCCATGGTACTACAGCAAACCACCCATCGTTTCTCGGATCTACACTGATTTGATATATCTTTGAATTTACTCATCAAGATGCATAGGAACTTGATAGTTAAGAAATAACAATGAAAACATGTCTCAACAATTACAACAAAGCATACACCTATAGTTTTTGGCACTGAATTTATAATCTCAGCAGATTCTGTGGAGCAACTCTTTACTCATGTTTCCTTATATCATCCAGACAAAATTACCTGGTTCTACAAATCAGACTTGCCAGCATGGTAGTTGAAAGGACCGAGCACATACCAGAACTGGAGTTGGGTGAAATATTTGGTCGGTATCAAGGTCTATTTTTCTGTTGTAATTCAATGCCTTTCTTGGGGACAAAGTTTTCAAGTTAGTTGGGTCTCAGTAACTTGCCCTGTAGAAGAACAATGTAGTCCGTGATCCGACTGGTTTGTGATCCTTGGTTCGATAGCACCGAATTATTGCTTTTAACGTTTTAGGCAAATGAGCATGTTCAACATTGCTCTCACAGTACACTAAATACAATTTATACAGAATAGTTTACTGGAAAGACTTACAAATGTGTTGTTCTTGTTCATGTGTTTAGTTTCTTCTCCAAAAGGATAAACTTTATTATCTTTTTGAAAGATAGAACTGCCATTGACACCTTGTTGACACAGAAATACTAACCACGCATACTTAATGTCAAGCTGACATGAGATTGTCTACTTGTGCAGCCAATATTGGTGGCCAGATTGGACTGTTTCTTGGGGCCAGCATACTCACCATCGTCGAACTCTTGGAACTAGTGGCCGCATGTTTGCTGACAAGCCTGGCGATCCTTTGTGCCAGACGTAAACGTCATGGTTGAGGAACAAAATGGACCTCGGTAATCCAGTTCACCTTTGATAATCCTGTTGTAAACAACTTATTTAGCACATGATCACATTCGTTATTGCTTGAAGTTTTCCCTGATTTTGAGAACAAAACATTTCAGGGACATATTTGTCCGACTTTTGAACCCTCATCATCGGTGTAAGGTCGAACATTAACTTGGTACATGTTTCCTCGCCATAGACTGACTGCATACATAGAGAAATAAGGGAATGTTGAGGTAATACCATTATATATGCATACGAGGGGCGTTCAAAAAGTAGTCAGCCTAACTGTATTCTCGATGTCTAATAGTTTGAAGTAATTATTAGCAATGCCATATACAAAATTTCACATATGTGGGTAATGTGGTTAACGAGATATTAGTCATCATAACAGATTGGGGTATAATATTTCTTTACAAATTACAGAAAATGAGAAACTATCTGCCATTTGGTACCGTTTGGATAATATACTGAAAGCCATTAAAAACGCAATAGGTATTTGTTGTCCTGAAACTTACAAAAGTTCTATTGAAGATTTTTTCCTGCGATACAGAGGATGTAGGGATAAAAGGCTGTTATTCTGGCCCATTTCGAGTCCGAGTCCAGGAGCATTCCTCTCCCATGAACTTTGATACTTAAAACTGAACCTTTGACATTTCTCGTAAACACAACCACATTCATGAAACACGTTGTGCACATGCATTACCTGCACCCAGGCCCTGTAAAAGCACAAGGAATTGTGGAACTCAATCACTTTGAGAAAATGCCACACTTGACACAAGACGAAAGGAATCAGGTTATCGGTATGGTCAGCCAAGGTGCTTCAGATGTGATGATTGCCAGGCACTTTAATGTGCATCCATCCACTGTAAGTCGACTCAGACAACGTTTTCGGGCTACCGGAAGTGTTGCTGATCGTCCGCGGCCTGGTGCACCACCTTTGATAACAGCTCGACAAAACCGCAATATCCGAGTTTCACACTTGCGAAATCGGTTCCAAACAGCTGATGATTAGGCAAGGAGGACAAATGGGACAAGTCAACGTCATTTCAGCGCCCAAAAGGTGCGAGGACGCCTTGCTGCCTTCAACATCCGGTGTCGTCACCCGTACCGTGGTCCAACCTTATTGCATCGCCACAGACTTGCCAGACAGCGATGGGCAGCAAATGGGACCAATCTTGGCAACAGGACATGGCCAGATGTCATTTTTTCAGATGAATCCAGGTTTAACTTATCATTGCATATGGACGTCAACAATGTGTCTTTCAATGCCCCAAAGTCTGCGAGCATGTCTTGCAGCGCACAGTGGACACACACGATACTGACTTCAAGTGACCCCTCCTCGCTTTGGTGTCGTTGTTGCGTCACTGATGTTGTTGTTGACTGGACATTTTCAGATGAAATTATTCACAGATGTTCACCTAAAACATATCTGCCAGTTAGGTTTATATATGTTGAAATTAGTGTGAGTAAAGAAAGTATGAATGTCAAATTGCATTTTTAATGGCTTTCAGTATAGTATGCGGTCCTCAGATAATATCTTATAACATATGTTTAGAATAGTATTGGATGACTCCCCGTCATAATAAACATTCAAAAATTTGGATTTGCTTGAATAATATTTAGACGGGGGCTGTTTTTTAAGGACACCCTTGTTTTATTCTTTCAAAACCATTGTGCCCAGATATTCAAGCTCACATTGTTTACAATATATTGAGAGCTTACACTTGTGTGACCATTCAGTATTTAGTTTGAACCCTTGGCATCATGTATGAATAAATGAAAACATAATAATAAGTTTTGTCCTTATGATTACGTCATCTGAAAGGGGGTGGGTAGTGTCTCCAGAATAAGATCTTTCAGTAAATATGGAGGGGGGAGTCACTTTAACAAGCCATTGTAGTTTCAAATTGCATTTTTATCCACTTTAATACCTAAGTATGATTCTAGCGGACTTCTGTCTAAGTCAAACAAGTTTTTTGCACATTTTGTTTGCTGAAGTTTGTGGTGCATATATTGCAGATTTTGCATTTTTGTGGGGTACCAAGACAAAAGTCAAACAAAATGGGGATCGTGAGTCTGGAACTTAACAAAAGCAATTTGCTTGAGGTTTTGTAAATACTTTTCCAGAGTACACCTGTCACCAGTGTGTAAGGGAGAGGACTCACTCTGTGGGGAGATACAGCGGTGGGATTGCTGTGTACATCAGGAAGCCTGTATCCACACTGTTCACCCGTATACACAGTGAATGGACGGACTGCGTATTCTTCCTGACCAGCATCCACGCCCAGACCCACATATTTGGTTTTGTCTACGTGCAAGACTCTACAACCTTGGCACAGCAGTCACAGGATCGTACAGGAATAGAACTTTTAGAGGAGAAACTAATTTTGCTTCATCTTGAATACCCTGATGCTATATTTACATTCTTTGGTGACTTGAACTCACGTATTGGTCAAGAACAGTGCTTTATAGAGGACGATAGTGTCGGCTATCTTCCTATTGATGAACAGGATTATGATTCAGATTCTTTCAGTATCCCGAGAAAGTCCAGAGACAATGTCTTAAATACCCATGGCAAACAGTTATTAGAGGTGTGTAGATATATGAAAGTACACATTTTAAACGGGAGATCGGGGTCAGGTAACCAAGGGAACTTCACATTTATTGGGCTACAAGGTAACAGCGTGGTAGACTATCGTATTGTGCCCACAGATTTATATGATTATTATAAAGATTTTGAAATAATCACAAGAACAGAGTCTGACCACCTCCCGATTACAGTAAGCCTGTTGTTGTCACGTGACCCGACAGCTGGTCCCGCACGTGCAGCACACACTCACACTCAGTCACATGCATTCGACAGGTACGCGTGGAGACCGGAGCAGCTCGGTGAGTTTGTGGATATTATGTGCAGTTCCATTGATACTTTCACACAGAACTTTGATAACAATATCCATATTGACATTAATAAAACCGTAACCTGCTTGCTTGACCTTTTCAGACACTGTTTTTCTCTAACTGATACCCAACACTCCCATACACGCAAGACCCACAGACCAAAGCACGAACAGACACAACCTAAATGGTTCGACAAAGAATGTGAAATTTTAAAACGCCGAAAGTATACACTTCTCGATAGATTTAGAGCGACAGCCGATCCTGTGCATTGCACCGAGTATCTCGATGCAAAACAAGACTTTAAAAAGCTATGCAACCACAAAAAAGCGGTATATGAGACAGATATTGAAAATGAAATTTTAGATGCAGCAAAGAGCAATATATGTAAAGACTTTTGGAAGGCCATTAAGAAACACAGCGAATCGAAACGCAGTTGTTGTAACATATCAGCTGATAACTGGTTTGAATATTTCAGTTCACTGCTCAACCCACATAACGACCATAAATCCCACTTTGATATGATGTACAACACTTTATCGATAACCATGATGTTACAAATTGCGACCAAGAAATTACGGAGGAAGAAATTAGAAAATCAGTTCATAACTTGAAAAACGGTAAATCCCCTGGGGCAGATGGTATCCCGGCGGAGGCTATCAAAGCTACGTGTCATGTATTGTCACCTTTCTATAAACGTCTTTTCAATGAAAATACGGGGAAACTGCCAGAAGCTTGGCATTTAGGCATTATAGTCCCATTGCACAAGACAGGAAATAGAGATGATCCTAATAATTATAGGGGAATAGCGCTTCTTGACATTATAAGTAAAGTTTTTACATCAATACTTGACACGCGTATAAAATCCTGGATATCAACCAAAGAACTACTCTCTGAGTCACAAGCTGGCTTTCGAAACAATTACAGTACAATTGACCAGATATTCATACTTAACTCAATAATTCATAAATACATAAGAAAAAAACGCGGCAAATTCTACTGTATATTTGTAGACTTCAAAAAAGCTTTCGACACTGTTGATAGGAATAAATTAATGTATGTTCTTTTGAATAATGGTTTACATGGCAAAATAACCTCTCTGCTTCGCAATATGTATTCGAATGTGAGAGCAGCTGTGAGGTGCAGTAAGCAGACTATAACTGATGTATTTAAGTCGACAGCCGGAGTCCGACAGGGTTGTATACTGTCTCCCGTTTTATTTATTCTATATATAGAGGAACTCGTAAACGATATTGTGAATAGCGAATACAGTGGTGCATTCATTGATGAAACTGTAGATGCATTATCTATCTGATTATTTGCGGACGACGTCGCCATATTTGGAGATAGTGTCATAAACTTGCAGAAGAAAATAGATGTTCTTAAATCATATTGCAAAAAATGGGGACTTTCGATTAATACCGAAAAGACTAAGATTGTTGTATTTAAAAAAGGTGGTGGACTTTCAAAAAATGAAAACGGGTTTATTGGCTCTGAAAGACTGGAATCTGTTTCCTATTACAAATATCTCGGAATAGTGTGTTCATGCCGGAACCTATTTTCAAGAGCTTGTGAGATTCTGTGTAAACAAGCCGAGAAGGCGTTATATCCTATCAAAAAAAGTATATGTTGATTTAAATCTCTTCCCCCAGATACATGCCTTAAGATTTTTTATGGCAAAATTCAACCAATCTTGCTCTACGGCTCAGAAATTTGGGGAACAATGTATCGTCATAACATTGAAAAAGTCCACACTAAGTTTTGCAAATTTGTCCTAGGAGTTGGTTACCGCTCTCCTAATAAGGCTGTTTTAGCGGAATGTGGAAGATATCCATTCCAAGTCAATAGTAAAACAAGAGTTATATCATACTGGTTACGACTACTTAGCCAGCCAGCCACAAGACACTCTAAACGTTGCTATAATATGATAAAAAATCTAGATGATAATGGAGATACTAACTGGACCTCCTCAGTTAGAACAATGTTATTTCAATACGGTTATGCACATGTGAGGATCCACCAAACAGTTGGAGATCCTAATATGTTCTTAAAGCTATTCAAACAACGCTGTAGAGATATATATTACCTAGAATGGTCATCCGATATTGCAAACTCCAAATATTTGTATGCATATTCACTATTTAAAAATGACATTGTCCATGAAACATATTTAGAAGTATTATCCTCTATGCAACTCCGCAGATCTCTTACAAAATTTAGATGTGGCATCAGTAAACTGAACGTACAAACCTATAGAAGATCCAAAGATGATGATATCAGTTCTGCCATGTGCGCTCATTGCGTCAATATTGTCTAGGACGAGTACCATGTTCTGTTACAATGCCCTGTTTTTTCTGATTTACGCATCAGGTATATACCACAATATTATTGTGTAAATCCCAACATACAGAAGTTTGTAAATTTACTTAACACCCTAAATGCAAATGTTATTTTACGCCTAGCCATATTTGTAAACAAAATCCATAACGTTTTATGATGCTTAAAAATGCCAGTGTACTTCTCATGCCAGCGCTCCAAAGAACATGATGTCAAAATGTCACTGTACTATTGGCCTCATGGCCACTCTACGAAATAAATCTGTCTGTCTGTCTGTCTGCTTGAGGTTGACAGATAATACAAGTATGTAGAAAAATATAACATAAAAAACACCTGCATTTTTATCATTTTCTAGATGAGGCTGACTAATTTTTGAACGCCCCCCGCATTATCACAACAATAAAAGTTTTCAACTTCATCATACGTTTCTGACAAAGTCTTCAGGAGACTTTCTCTGTATGCAGCTTAAACATAAGTGTAATCATCCTCAATCCGCATCAGAGAATCAATTTGTTCTTCTGCAAGATTTAGCTTCGTACAAGTGCCACGAACTGAATACCTTTCTCTGTCATTTTTATAATCCAAGCCTCTGCTCTCCCGTATAATACTTGTCAGACTATCATCTGTCTGACTCCGAGGTTTCCTTTCGTCAATACTAATGTTTGGGTAAAACGTCAATTTTTATAGTTCTTGCAAAGTCAATTCGATACAAGTTTTCTCGCTGTAGACTCAAAGAAATAAGGGAATCTTGAATTATGTATAATGCTCTCACAATATTAAGGTTTCCCACTTCATCAGTAAGTCATGTTTTTGACAAAGTATATATTCTACCTGTACAGATGACAAATGTTACTGTTCACTTGCATGGTCAATAGTTCAATATAATAACCATCACACTGTAAAGCCCTAACAATCCAACATGTACAATTCTACACTGAGGTCTCGTGCACACTCGTGACTACAGTTTCGAAATCATTTGGAATACGGAAAAATAGCATTACTGAATAGTGTAAAAATGCTGCTAATATATTGGCTGCACCAAACACAAACTGCTTACTAGCAAAAATGTCAAAGTAATTCATGCTGCTGGTAGACCATCTGATTACAGAGAGAAGTCGCTCACATGGCAAGCAGCTGACATACTTCTCAACTTAAACATATCACTTCCCAGCAGTAGTCCCCGATTAGAACGCTTTGACCATAATCTATAACAATTCTCTGCCACACCTATGAAACAAACATACTTAGAATGAATACATATATATCATTTAGGCCGTAACAATCAGGACAGTTCCGGTTTCCTTCAAAGTGTGACAATTAATTCGAGGGTGGGATGTTTCGGTACAGATCGACAACGGAACAAAAATATGTATCGGAACGTGGTACTAACAAAATAAAATACGTTGTTATCCATATAATGTGTCAAAATTGTACTTCCAAACTTGCAAGATGCCCCTCAAAGAAATTGTTAGCATTTTGCACACATTGTCATACATTTAGATGCAACATTATTTGCTGCTCGCCTTGTTCCAGATTGCTCCAGTCTCGAGGAAGCTGATCCCGGCTCAGTTGAATTGTGGATGTCAAATAGATAGGTGTTTTCTTAAAAAAAGCAACGAGGCATTGTTTTGTTGGTTTTATTTCTTCAGGAAGTCAAGTTTAATGTTTCATTGCGTTTATTATCTGAACATTGTGAAATATGGCTTCCAAACACAGTCTTTAGAAATATTGTTTAGTTTTGGTGTCAGAAATAAGTATTTAACACATCACTAACATAAAATATTTGGATTGTTCGTAGTTTCAAGCATAAGTGAGAAGTAGAACTAAACATCGTAGCCCGCTCATGTGATGAAATCCCAATCCATCGGCAACACATACCTCGATTACCTGTATATCTCGATTATGCTAATTTCATATACAATGTGTACAATATGATATGTATCTTCATATAAATTTGATGTATTTCCTATCAAGTCTATTTTTATTGTATTCTGTATGTGTTGCTCTTTCTAAGATTCTTCGGTGAATTATCAAAGGCGCCGACAGTACTTTATCAGACGATAATGTGCACATTTTGCATAACGTCACAATGTCTAAGCGTCACTGCGCCATTGTAGTCTGCCCCCTCGTAATCGAACAATTTCGCTTACGTCACAATGTAAGCAACGCCACGATGCCTGTCAGTTGTCATCGACTAGTACAGCCTCCTACAGTAAACTACTCCGTTACATCCCGTTTCTTGGTTTGCAATTGCTTCACGCAGCTAACGTCACTATGTTTTCCGACGGTTAAAATGCCTCAATTCGACTCACAAGTTTTCGGCGACACGTAAACGTTCGCAATGTTTACATTCCCACAATGCAATCATAGAATATCGCTTGATTACTCAGCTTCATCTGAAATGTACTGATCTAAACTTACGTCGGTATTAGACGTGTGACCTTCATATTGTCCTCGTGCTTTAACTATAATAGTTCAGGGCGAAAGTGTGCTTTATTACACTATACATGGGTGGTAGAGCGAACTGTATTTCTGAAATCTATTTACATATTGTAGTGAGGGAATGGGTTGGGTTTAACACTGCTTTGAACATTGTGTCTCTTTTATACATCCATGTGTCAGCTTGGTATAGGAACAACGGCTGAAGTGATGCAGGCATTAGACGTTCATCACGTTGGTGAAGTCAACGAGCACGGATATGCTGAATAACATCTATACAGAAGGTTTCTGTCGCAAAGCGAGATTCGAACTCACGATTTCAAGGGA